GCATCTTTTAAGTGTTCTGCAGTTTTACAGAACAAATCAGCTAGAACTATCTGAATTCAGACCAGTACATATTTTACCATAACCATTTCGGGTGATAATCCAGATGTGTGGTTTTTAACAGGTTTTCCTTTCACAACTTTAATTAGAAAGCTTCTTTGTGTATAAATGGACTGCAGTTTTCTAAGTATGCTGATTTTTTTGTGGGTAATCAGAAAAGAACTCGAGGTAGTGACGTACAAGGGGGAACACTTCTGAAAATGTGTCAAAATATGTGGGGCTTATCTCAAAAATCTGTTTGTCCATCGTGTGTGTCTATAAACTTCACAGCAACGTTATCCAGCTGTTGGTGAGCAGTTTCAGCTGTCAGATGGAGATCCTTTCTTGGTAGATGTACGTTGAAATGCCCCGGGTTTCCTAACACATAAAGAATACGGTCAGTGAAAGTGCTGCTGGTTGTTCTTTTGCTTTGACTCACAATCCTGTTCCTCTCGGCTCCTTTTTGTGGTCAGATGTGTGAAAATACAGGTGTTAACTTCTACACTCACAGCCTGTTGAGTGAATAGATTTTGTGTCTGGCTGTGGAGACCTCTCTTTCTTTCAGAACAAGATGTTTCTGCTTATCTTAGGTCTCTCGTAAGGCCCCACCTGGAGAACTGCGTCCAGTTCGGGAGCCCCCATCACAAGAGAGACCTGGAGCAGCTAGAACAAGTCCAGAGGAGGCCACAAGGATGATCTGAGGGCTGGAGCAGCTCTGCTGTGAGGACAGGCTGAGAGAGTTGGGGCTGTTCAGCCTGGAGAAGAGAAGGCTCCGGGGAGATCTTATAGCAGCCTCCCAGTACCTGAAGGGGCTACAAGAAAGCTGGGGAGGGACTTTTCATAAGGGCAGTTAATGACAAAACAAGGGGAAATGGGTTTAAGCTGAAAGAGGGGAGGTTTAGATGAGATATTAGGAAGAAATTCTTTGCTGTGAGGGTGGTGAGACAGTGTCCCAGGTTGCCCAGAGAAGCTGTGGCTGCTCCTCCCTGGAAGTGTTCAAGGCCAGGCTGGATGAGGCTTTGAGCAACCTGGTCTAGTGGAAGGTGTCCCTGCTGCTGGCAGGGGGGTTGGAACTGGATGAACTTTAAGGTCTCTTCCAACCCAGCCCAGTCTGTGATTCTATGATCTTGTTCCTCTGAAGAGTTACTTTAGTGTTTTTAAAATAAAAATAAATAAACCAGCTTGCCTTTTTCTTTTTGCAGCAGCCTGAGAGAAGCAGCCACGTTGGGGGGAGGAGGGTGGATCTCTTTTTGCCTTGCACGCCTTGCTGCAGGCTTCAGTTGATGCCTAAGCTCCCTTTTCCCTTCTGCTTCCCTTCTAAATACAGAAGCAGTTGGCTTTGTTTGAAAATCTGCACACATGAACACAGGGAGTTAAGGTGGGGACGCTGATTTGATCGGTGTCATTACGTAAGGTTTCTGCCAGCACAGATGCCAGCACCATTCCAGCAAAAAAAATCCGTGGTGTAGACTGGTCTAAATCAGTGTCTGACCTGTTTATGGGGAAGGGCTTGATCATTTAATGAAATGGAACTCCATATTGTTCCTTGTTTGACCCAAAGGAAAAACAACTTCTGGACACAGTGAATAATTAAATTGAGGGGAGTAGAATATATCCTGTCATCAAAATGTTGGTTTTTTTTTTTTTTCAAGACTTCATTGTTTCTTCCCAATTTCTATGTGTCATTTTGTGTTTTCCCATGCAGCTAAAAAGAATAATATTCTTAAAAGTTGAAACAAAGCATAAGAAAAACTTATAGCCCTTCTAGGTGACCTTTCCTGACTGACTTTACTTAGTAAAAAGGTAGTCTGATAATGTTGTTCTTTATTACTTGATTTATCAGAATTTAATATATTGTTATTTTTAACGTACTGAGTTACTCTACTAGTCTGTCCAGAAGGTATTTAGCACACTCTATAAACTGATCAATTGGAACTTGCTTGGAGTTTTGTGGGTTTTAATGTCCAAAAAAAAAATGAGCAGGCAAGAAATTAAAGCATGCACCTGCATTTCCCAGTCACTGCTGTGCTCTTTCTCTGTGAGAGGAGGCACTGCATGATTCAACTTCTCTTCTGTGAAGAACCTAAAATGAGCTAATTTGAAGACAGAGTGGCAAAAAAAGTAATTCTGAAAAAAAAAATGTAACAAGCTTCACACTGCTCAGTAGTTGGATGATGGTCCTGTATCACCAGTAAATCAGATGGTTCTGGTGTCCCTCAGCTGGGAGGCAGTTGGGAGTCAGTAAATAAATAAATAAAAATATTAAAATTAAAAAAAAAAAAAAAGGGAAAAAAGCCACAACAACAAAAAAACCCCCTGATATGTGAAGTGCTAAATGTCCTCATCTAGCTGTGCCGTGGTGGGTGTTGGCAGAGCTATCAAAGGAGAGAAATTGCATTGCTCCATTAAACCTTTTTATATTCTTCACTCCGTAATAACCTGAGGCCTTGTGTTCAGAGGTGGTGAGCTCGTATCTCAGAGGCTTTCGAAGCTGCAGGTCCTCAGCCTCTCTCGAAGAATTATGTCTGAAAGCATCTAGCTTTTCAGAGGGCACAGAGAATAATTGCAGCTAAAAACCTAATCTCCTGATCTGTACGAAAGCTTTTCTGTAGCGCAGCGTGTCCTGCGCTGTTTAATTTCATAAACAGTATCTCGGCATTGGTTTAGATGGTTTTTTGCCACCAGCTGCTTTCCAGCTTGAGCAGCAATCTTCTTCCCCACTCTGTCACGTCAGTGAAACAGATGATGCTTTGTTTTCTTGCCCCATCCCAAACGTGGGTTGGGATTTGTTTGCGGTGGGACCTGCTGGGTTTAAGGCTTTACAGACTGGGGTGAGTAAGAGACTGTTGATAGTTACAGACCATTGGGCTTCATCTCCCATTATACACAGATCTGGCTTTTGATTGAAAGCACTTCCACTCCAAACATAATCAGCTTCTGCTCAGGTAGAAATTATTCTTAAGCTTGTACTGGGCACTGAAGCCCTGGGACAGCCGCTTTCTGGTTGTCCTTGGTAGCACTAGTGTCCTGGTTTTGTTAGGATGGAGTTAATTGTCTTCTTGTGACTGTTCTCATCGGTGGCAGTTGGCAGGTGCACGGGGGGCACGCTGCTTCCTTCTCTTTTCTGAAAACCATGGTCAACTGTCTGATGTTCCTAACTAGAAAATGTTGATAGCTCAGAAAAATTCTCTACTGTTTTTATATATAGAGAGAATAAGCTCCTTAAAAAATGTTAAAAGTCATTATAAAACTTATTTTGGGGACTGGGGGTGTGGGGGGAAAAAGCCTTGACCAAGTGGAATAGGTAAATGTAACATACAGGAGGTGTTTTGGCAAAGCTTTAGTTTGTTTATGAAGTAGAGAAAACTGTTTTTCCTCTGAAAAATCTTCTGTTTGAAGTCACCTTTAGTAAAATCAAGTAGATTTTTAGTATTCTCGTGTGTATGAGAGTTGGGGCTGTTCAGCCTGGAGAAGAGAAGGCTCCAGGGAGATCTTATAGCGGCCTCCCAGTACCTGAAGGGGCTACAAGAAAGCTGGGGAGGGACTTTTCATAAGGGCAGTTAATGACAAAACAAGGGGAAATGGGTTTAAGCTGAAAGAGGGGAGGTTTAGATGAGATATTAGGAAGAAGTTCTTCACTGTGAGGGTGGTCAGACACTGGAACAGGTTGCCCAAGGAAGCTGTGGAAGGTGTCCCTGCTGATGGCAGGGGGGTTGGAGCTGGATGAGCTTTAAGGTCCCTTCCAGCCCAAACCATTCTGTGATTCTATGATTTCTCACTCGTTTTATTCCAGATATGGGGACTCATAGAAGGATCTCACTCCTTTTTTTTATTTCTATTCTGTATGGGCAGGGACATTTATGAGGAATGGTGGTGGAGGGGAAGCAGTAGGAAGTCTAATTGCTTTCTCAGCACATTCCTTAGTCTGACACAGTTTTATAACGTATAGGTGGGAGTGAAGTGCTCTGCAGGCTGTTCAAACAAGTAATATTAGAAGCCAAGGCTTTATGAGAAAGCTTTCTGTGTTCCTGATTGCTCATCTGTTTTCATGCAACATAAATATGGATTGCTGCTGAAAATGATAGTCCTGCCCTCTCCTGTGTCCTGGCCATGCGATAGCCCCTCATTCATGCAGCCACTTGATCTGGTGAATAGATCACAGTCGAGCTGTTGGGGGGGAAAAAAACCTGTGCTGCTTGCTGGCCTCTGCAGAAGGGAGATAGTAGCAATAAGGGTGACAAATTTAGGTGGATATTTAGCCATGCCTCGGTAAAGCAAGGTGTGTGTGAAGGGATTTCCGTGGAGAATGTACTAACAACACATTTCCTAATCAGAGAACAGGTATAAACTGATTTTTAGTTTGTGTCTGGTTTTGAGTTTAATCCTGTTGTGTAACTTCTCTTTGGAGTTTTTGTTTACTAGATTGTGGGTGTGTTTGTTAGTTCAGAGAGTTGCAGTACAACTGAATGAAAATTGTCAATCAATCGATATTACAGATTTGTGTTTTAAACAGTTCTGCATGCTTAAAAATAGCACATAATGGAGTCTTTTGTGTTGGGTGACTATTCTGTGTTAAGGGAGGATATAGACTGTATACATTTTTCTATTTGTTCTTTATCTGCCTCACCCTTTCCCTCTATTATGCCCTCTACACAAAGTTGTGTTTTTTTTTCCTTCCCCATCCAACGTTTCAGGTTGCAGTAAGAGTGTTTACAGATGTTTTGGTGTGAATTTGACATTGCTTGGGTCTAGTTCTTTCACTTCAGCAGACTGATCACTTGTGTGATGACTAGTTCTTTATAAATATCCTTGTATTTTAACCAGTCTGTATGTTAGTCTCGGCAGGTCACGGTTGAATTTAAACAAGTAAATTGGGATCAGAATAGGTGTGGCATTTAATAATTAACTTTCTGGTTACTCAGGTCCAGTAGGAAACCTATAATGAGTCTGTTTTCATTTTGTTTACAGGAATAGTTATCTGCTTAGTCTCATCCTTCGTATTTGGCAGTCTGAGGAAAAGATCTGAGCCAGCATGAAGACAGAATCCCCTCTCCATTAGAGAAAAAGTGAGTTGGAATTGGATTGAAATCTGGATTTCTAGAGTAAAAATCCTGTGTTAGCTTGTCACCACGCAGAGCTTGTGCTTGTCACTTTGAAACACTACTGTTATGAGTGATGGCCAGTCAAGGCCTAGGCTTGGTTAAGCACAAGCACATGTATAGAATTTTCCAATGTATGCATTTCATCTAAACTCCTACACCCTGCTTTTCCAAAAGAGCTGCTTACTCACTGTATAATTTCCTCATTGTATAATTGCCCACCTGATAGACTCCTTCCTTCCAAATCCTGTGAGATCTTGTCATAGACCTTGCAGGATCTAGACTTTGTCTTCCTTTTCTTGTACTGCTCTATTCATACTGAGTTTTATTTTAATAATTTAAATATTGTGACTTATAAAATAAGTCACAATATTTTATAAGTCACAATATTTTATAAGTCACAATATTTTATAAGTCACAATATTTTATAAGTCACAATATTTTATAAGTCACAATATTTTATAAGTCACAATATTTTATAAGTCACAATATTTTATAAGTCACAATATTTTATAAGTCACAATATTTTATAAGTCACAATATTTTATAAGTCACAATATTTTATAAGTCACAATATTTTATAAGTCACAATATTTTATAAGTCACAATATTTTATAAGTCACAATATTTTATAAGTCACAATATTTTATAAGTCACAATATTTTATAAGTCACAATATTTTATAAGTCACAATATTTTATAAGTCACAATATTTTATAAGTCACAATATTTTATAAGTCACAATATTTTATAAGTCACAATATTTTATAAGTCACAATATTTTATAAGTCACAATATTTTATAAGTCACAATATTTTATAAGTCACAATATTTTATAAGTATTATTTTAATAATTTAATATTTGTGACTTGTTTCTGTAGCTGTACTGGTCTCTTCTCCAGTATTCTCAGTACTTAATGTCTACCTGTTTTCTGAATTTTTTCTCAAACCTCTGTGCAAATTTAAGAAATTCCAGAAATGCAGGACTGAATTGTCTTTTGATTTCCTTCTTGCCATAAGAAATCCTGAATTCTGCATTTAAAATACTGTTAGCTCAAGTCTTACCCTTTTCATAGTGGTTTTTTTCCTCCCCCTAAATGTTCTAATAGTATCAAGAAAAAAAAGATTGCCCATTTACTCTTGATTTTTTTTATATTTAGTGCTGTGCACATCAACTGGGTTAAATCTCATTTACTTCTTTATTTTTATGTTTTTTGAACAGAGCTCCTATGCCACCATTGTGTACTAATGATGTATTCTGATTCCTTAGCTTTCTGCCTGACGCAGTTCATTGCAAGAAGAAGTGCACAATGACAGAGCGTGGAATTAAATGGGCTTGTGAGTATTGTACATACGAAAACTGGCCATCTGCAATCAAATGTACCATGTGTCGTGCTCAGAGACCTAGTGGAACAATTATCACAGAAGATCCATTTAAAAGTGGTTCAAGTGATATTGGTCGAGACTGGGATCCTACGAGCACTGAAGGAGGGAGCAGTCCTTTGATATGCCCAGATTCTAGTGCAAGACCGAGGGTTAAATCATCTTACAGTATGGAAAGTGCAAATAAATGGTCGTGCCACATGTGCACCTACTTGAACTGGCCAAGAGCGATAAGGTGTACTCAGTGCTTGTCTCAACGTAGGACCAGGAGTCCCACAGAGTCTCCTCAGTCTTCAGGTTCTGGTTCAAGACCAGTCCCTTTTTCCGTTGATCCATGTGAGGAATATAATGACAGAAATAAACTCAACACAAGGGCTCAGCACTGGACTTGTTCTGTTTGTACATATGAAAACTGGGCAAAGGCCAGGAAATGTGTCGTGTGTGATCATCCCAGACCTAACAACATAGAAGCAATAGAACTGGCAGACACGGAGGAGGCTTCTTCAATCATAAACGAGCAAGACAGAGCTCGATGGAGGGGAAGCTGTAGCAGTGGTAATAGCCAAAGAAGATCTCCACCTACCACCAAACGTGAATCCGATGTGAAAATGGACTTCCAAAGAATTGAATTGGCTGGAGCTGTTGGCAGCAAGGAAGAACTTGAAGTTGACTTCAAGAAACTAAAGCAAATTAAAAACAGGATGAAAAAGACTGACTGGCTGTTTCTAAACGCTTGTGTTGGTAAGTGGTTTGCTGCTACCTTACCCTGTTATGCCTGTGCTTAGATGTTTTGGGAGAATGAAGAATTAAAATGTAAACTTGACTTTGAAACAGCTTTATTTATTTATTTTTCTTTAATCTCTGCTTTTTAATATTAAAAAAGTAAACCAAATGTAGAAGTTCCTGAAATAGCACCTGCTAAGAGAGGCTGCAGAGTTCATCCATAATCTGAACAGGGTTAGACATGTTTCCCAACTATGCTGGGACTTTTTTGACCTTTTGTAGAAATTGATATCCTTGTAACAAAATCCTGTCTTATTCTATGTAGTCGTTGAAAGGTGGGAAAGTTACAGTCTATAGAACAATATAATGCATGTAGCACTGTAAAAAAAAACAAACAAAAAATGGCATTACTGGATAATTAAAAATATTCCTCTTTTTTTCTATGGCAAGACATGGATAGTAGAATCAGCAGCTGCAGCTTGGGAGTATTTGTAAACAGTGTAGAGCTTGCGACAGTACAAGATGCTCTGTCAGATGTTAAAAATAACACCAAAATATGTAGCTCCAAGAAACTGCATGTGTAATATTGACCTTGAAAGTAATAATGTTGTATTAATACAGATACTGTGGGGTAAATGTTTACAGGCTTTCTGAAAGTATTTCTGTTGTTGACTGCTTCAAAAAAAAAAAGTCAAATATCAATTTTGTTTTGTATTTTAGTGTTTTTCTAAGGAAATTCTGGATAATTCTCCCAGTGCTGTTAAAGAACAGAGGCATGTGAGAGCAGGGTTTGCTTCAGTTATTGACCTTGTGAGTTAACTTTTGTGCTGTAGCTTCCCAGAAGCAGATATCTTGTGCCCTAGCATACAAGCAGGTTAAACACTTGAAATACACAACTATTTTTAGAGTTAAAACACTTCATTTGAAACTCTGGTGCTGCTAGGATGTCTCATACCGTTCCTTTACCTTTCATAAAGCCACTTCCTGGTTTTTATAATCGAAAAAACTGATTTGTGAAGCTGCTTTATTTAATATTAATATTAAATATTTAATATTTATTTAATATCTGATCAGGTGTAGATGGTTTTGAGTATCATGGGTTTGGTTTCTGTGAGCTAATAAATATTCCAGTTCATTTTTGTGTTGTGTGAAGGGTTGGACAAGATGATTCCCTTTTGAAAACTGTTAGATGCCTCAGTATTTATTGATACCTTCAGGTTCTTACGTGCTAGCAGACACATTTTTCCTTCTGACATAAAGCAGTTGAAATTCTTTGTGGTATTTTTTAAGTTCTTGAATATCCCAGCTCAATTGTTGGAGGTTGTTACTGTGCTTTACAAGACTCTATTTTGCATTCTGATAGTATTGTATTAAATATTAAGGTTTTTGGTTTTTTTTTCCTCCCCTTTTTGGAAAGGGAATTCTTTTGGACTATTCCAGTGTTACTTAAGAGTATTTCACACTCGTAGATTTAATCTGTGTGGGAATGGTTGTGTTTATGTTTAAGAAAGTGAGTTTTGCAAGTATTTAGTGTTGCTTGTGACTATATAATTGTAATGAAAGTTAAAACTCTGTTCATAGAAATTTTGTAAGCCAGTAATGATTTATTGTATTGATTTTTTTTAAATGAAAATAGTTTGAAGGGATCTTGAAGGGATTTTGATGAGAAAGCCAGGATCAAATTGTGTCCTGAATTTTACTACTATTCTGCTGAAAGATTTTATTGATTCCTTTCTGTAACTTAAACACTTACTATACTTCAACTTTTTAACTGGGGGGGGGGACGGGACACACACGACCAGCAACCACAGCTGTTAATTATCAGTCCTTAATTTCAGAATTTCATCTTGCATATCACAGATGTCTTATTATTTCCAAATACTCCTTGTAGCAGGAAGAACCTTAGGAAGATTGATGAAAGCTTCATCGATTCTTCCGTGGTTGTCTCTGGACGTTTTGCAGAGTATATCTATATTGGAAAGGTGTACCAGTTTAACCAGTCGTTTTCAAAGCAACAAGCTACGTTTGTGCTGGTAGTTTTGTTGTCTTAGTGTGACATATTTAACACAATTAACTGTCAATTGAATAATTTTGCCTGAAGCCTTACGTTCTTACCATTGAAATCAAGCGAGTTATTGTGACTTAGCGAGTTACTGTTTGTTAACCAGCTGGAGCTCCTGTGATCTTCTGACTGAGCTGGACACTTGTCAGTCCTTAGCCAAACACAATTATAAACCAGGACAAGCTCATGTTAAATGTCAAGTAAGTCGGTGTAAATGAACCTCATGAAGTTTAACAAAGCCAAATG